GAGGCGCGCAGGCAGCAGCAGGCGCTGGAGGCAGGGGCGGCTCGGCGGCAGCAGCTGCGGGAGCAGGGGGCGCGGCCGCGGCGGGTGCAGTGGGCACAGTGGCGGGCGCAGCAGCGAGCTCGGTGGCAGGCGGCGCAGCTGCGGGGGAAGCGCTGGAGGTGGAGTAGGTGGAGCTGCTGCGGGAACGCCGGCCAGGAGGCGGAGACGCGCACTCCAAGGACCCGTTGAAGGCAGCGAGGTCGCTCAGCTGCAAGACGACCACACCGCGCGCTGCGTCGAGCGCGGCGGGAACTCGGCAGTCCCCGACGCGGAGGACCCGCGCCTCCATGAGCCCACCCGGACGGGCGCGAGAACGGCAAAGAAAAAACTTACCATATATAATAGAGAGAACAATCAATGCGCAAAAATGCCCATGACAGCTTCGTGTTGACATCGAACTATCGAAATCTTTCTCGCAAACCGTTAGCAAATAATAACAACCGGACTCCTCGGACCAACCACACGCAGCCGGCCGAGATTCCCAAGCTGGAGACCACCCCAGCGCCGTAGCAGCCAACAGCACCCAACAAACAGGCGCTGCGGTTGGGTGTCATCAGATCTCCTCTGGTCCAATGCTGCAATGCAAGGCTCAAACCTTGGGTGGGCAAATAGCGTTCTGACCTACAGTTACCAAAAGCTGGAAATCACAAAACTAATGTGTATATATATATATGTGTGTGACGTGTGTGTATATATATATATGGTAGCAAAGTTTGCAAAACTGGAAAACATGCAAAAAAAAACACAGATACTGTAGGTCCCTATAGATTCCACTCTCGAGCTGGCCTGGGGGTACGCTGACACACCTACTGGATCCTGCCACCTGTAACACATTCCAAGACACCAATGCCAGAGGCAGCGCTCAGCCAACCAGCGTTCACGCCTGAGAAAATTGGAGTGGCCAAACCATCCCACGACATGGGCAGCCTGACTACAATTTTTGCCTTCTTGAGTCCGTGGCCATGAGTAAAGTGAGCAATTAGAGTCCCATAGGTGGATAGCTTGGTGCAACATGTGGCTGGCCCGTGCAAAGGTGCATGTCCGGTTTAAAACATTCCTCTTTGATGTTCTTGGCCAGGAAGTTGGTGGGCTGTACCCACTTCCCCACCCCTCCCTACTTCTCTCTTTCCTTTCCCTTCCTCTTCCTGCCGCTTGCACTGCCAATCAACCAATCTTCATAGCCTTCCTTCCTGTCCACCCTCACAGTGTCCCTCTCAGCATTGCCGTCCCTATATTCAATTTTCAACCATACGTCGTAATCATCCTATTACACCCTCTTAGGCGGCGCCGATCCTTTGCAACTTGGATCCTTTCGATTGATGTCGTTTTGCTATTCCATGTTCTTTCGGCTCTGATATTGTTCCGGTCCAGTGTTCCATATTCACCCCACTCCTCCACCACTCACACCACCCGACCCGCACATGCACACGTTGAATTGACCATGCCTGAGGGGAAGTCCAGCAACATGCTCCGCAAAAGGCTTTGCTCTTCTAGCGTCTGCAAACGCTGAGCCGCTGCTGTCATGCCTTGCCGGCCACTGCGGCGATCCAGAACAAACTGGGCCGGATGGAAGGTCCGCTGACGCAATCAAGTTTCTGTGGGTTTTCTTTGTTAAGGTTCATCAGTAGTACGTATCTTACATACACCGACCAGTACCTAGTGGTGAAACACTTCAGGTGTCAAGACACTGCTCTGTGCCGCCACCAGTTGGCATGCGCACGCCAGCAAGGTGCGGAATACCTTGCCTTTCCTGAGGAGCGACATGCACAACAGCTATCCAAACAAACAAAGAGGGTCTTGAGACTGCGTTGCTCCCTTGACTCGGGTTTCTGGCCAAGTCTCCTGCTATTGATGTCCGTCAAGGGCAGGGAAACAAAGCTTGCCTGCCAACCTTGGTTGGATAATGGTCATCGGATCTGGTGATTCTGGTGGGCCACCGAACATGCCCTTCAGGAGGAATAAGGCCATAAGGCCGCAGGGCAGTGATGTTTTCATTTCTAATAGTGAGTCACCGAGCCATCGTTGAAATCAGCATGTTGTCCTTGCAGTTGGGCAGCAAGTCGAAGGAACCCTTGTAAGTGCCCAAAAATTTTCATGACCAATCGCTCGCCGGCTATGCCACCCAAAGCAAAATCATTGTCATAGACGGATATATTTGTATTATATATATGCCATAGACAAGGCCAACATTTGCAAAGGACCTCCCCAACCCCACGATCTCACACATCCGCAATTTCACACTTTTTGCGTGACATCGAGGCTGTCTAGGCTCAACCCATGTCAGGCACAACTTTTCCAAGCCGCAGTTTTGCCAGATCCACGTCACAAACCAGTAGGGGAACACTGCGCGCAAAGCTTCCAGCGGCAAGGCGTTGGAGAGCAATGCGATTGTCCCAGCGCCCTGGAGCAAGAATATGGGCCCCCAAATGCCTCAGCCAAGTATATAGGCCACACGTGACGGCATGCGTTGCCAAGCAACCGCACACCATTGAAAGCGCGCCGAACTGGATCATTTGGCAACCAACACGGACGCCATGGGATCAGCCCCTCAGTTTCCGTTGGGGCTCCCAGCTATGACGCAAGCATCCAGGGACACCAAGAGAGAAAAAAAAAAAGAAAGAGAGAGGGAGAGAGAGAGAGAAGAGAGAAAGAGAGAAACCTAAGGTTTTGGCAGGTTCCAATGAACCTCAAAATGGCTTTGGTCGCCCTGACCACGTTGAGGCGTTAAGCCAGCTTAGGCTTAGACCGCTGCGGTCACGTAAAGGCATAAGCCTGCTTGGAGTTCAATAATCCAGCAACTTTTGACAAATAACTTTGGCCCAAGCTTACTTTGTCCGCTGCGGACTGCTTTGTGTCCGGGCAGGGTACGTTCGACTAACCGACTAACCCCCGTTCGAAGGGTCCACAAGGCCACTCCTCGGGGTCACCCTGGGCTGGCACGAAGCCAGGCACATTTAGGATTTTGCGTACGGAACTGAAACCGGTTGCCACACGCCCGCCTAGGTAACCATTTCCTTTGCAAAAGTACAGGTAAAAACCCAACGGATGCGCAAACACCAAATCGACGAGTTCGGATCGACAAGATGACGGCGTCCGTGCACATCTGCAGAACTCACTGGCACATTACCAGAACATTTGAGTAACAGCTTGTAAACGCCATAAGTACGTCGGAGTGATCAGCTCCGATATCCTCCCAAGCCTCGTTGCCAGTAGGCTCATGAGTGGGCTACTGCCCCCGTGAATAAAAACAAAAAACATTCCACAGGAACCTTGTGATTCCAAAGGTTACACACACACACACACACACTGTACAGTGCGGTGTGCACAACACGTGCGGCGGAGAGCAAAAACAATATGTCTGGTGAGCTCCGCATACGAAAGATTCTGAACCTCGCGTGACGTGGCCGAGACTGGCTTGCGGTGCGCACAACATGTGCTGCGGTACTCACAACATGTGTTGCCGCGCTGGCAAAGGCACAGCCAAGGCAAGGACAACAGCAGGGCCGGCTGCTCCACAGCAGGGCCGGCCGCTCCACAAACGCGGCAGGGACACACAGGTGAACGGCAGGGAACCCAGTGGCAACTGAAAGGTGCACGCGTAGGAGTGGTGACGCGCGGAGTTGCGGCTCACAACTGATCAAACAGCGCCACTGCGCGAACTTTTGGATTTGGAACTGGCACGGGTTCAAGCAGTGGGCTCGCCTGCGAATGCCCGCAGTAGCATGGGTTTGGTCGGATTTGCCTGCCCTAGCGGCTGGTCCGGCAAGCTTGCAGTCCCAAGGCTGCGCAGGCCGTCCCTTCACAATTTTTGCGCTTCGCTGATTCTGGTTTGTTTTGGGTTTTGGGTTTGTGTGTTACGCGCGGCGGCGGCGCCGGCGCCGGCGGCAGCAGCAGCAGCAGCAACAACAACAACAACAACGAAAGACCGGTCACCACATGTGTCGTTGCTTTGCTATAGTTTTTGTATGTCCGGGAAAACAGATGTTGTGTGCACCACAGCACATGTTGCATGCACCAGTACACACTAAGTATGTGCTTTCACCACAGGGGTTCCTGTGTTGTCTCTCATAGCTCGTGTTTTGCGCCGAACGGAGGAGAAAAAAAAACATCCGTGTGCTTGCAGCTCTCCACACCACATATTGTGTTTGCTCTCCGCCGCACGTGTTGTGCACACCGCGCTGTACAGTGTGCGCGTGCGTGCTGGAAACCAAGCATGGCGGCACGATAAGCCCCGGTGTCCTTCACTGACAAACAACGTGGTGTTTTGGCATGAAACACGTCCCCAAGCAAAGCCGAACATTCCACAAGTGATGCACTACGTGATGCCTCCACAACAAACGTAACAACAAACAACACTCTCCCATGCTTGCTTCCAGCAACAACACATGTTGTGTGCCGAAACGCCGCATACCATCATGGTGTAACCAACACATCTTTGGGCACTGGGGCCCACTGCCCCGGCGTACGAAGGAATCATCCTGGACCGCGCGTGACACTGCGCGTGACATGACCAAAACTGGCTTGCGGAACATACACAATGCGCTGCGGTACTCACAACATGTGTTGTGCTGAGCACAGCCAAAGCAAGGACAACAGCACGGCCGGCTGCTCCACAGCAGGGCCAGCCGCTCCACAAACGCGGCAGGGACACATACGTGAACGGCAGGGAAGCCCCTGGTAGCTGAAAGGTGCACACGTAGGAAAGTTGACGCGCGGAGTTGCAGTCCACAACTGGTCAACTGGATTTGGAAGGCCGTCCCTTTACAACTCTTTACAGTTTTTGCGCTTCACTGATTCTGGTTTGTTTTGGGTTTTGCGCGCCGGACGGAAACACGGCGCATGACGGCATCACGGTGCACAACAGCAACTGCAGCAACAACAACAACAAAAACAACAACGAAAGACCAGTCACCATATGTGTCTTTTCTATGCTTTAACTTTTTGCACGTGCCGCAAAAAGCATTTTGTGTGTGTGCGCACCAAAACACATGTTGCATGCACCAATACACACAAGGTACACGCTTTCACCACAAGAGTTCCTGCGTTGTCTTTCACGCCACGTGTTCTATATTTCGTGCGCTTCAAAGCGCAGCTTGCCACACCACATATTGTGTTTGCTCTCCGCCGCACGTGTTGTGCACCCCGCACTGTACAGTGTGTGCGCGCGTGCTGGAAGCCAAGCATAGCGGCACGATAAGCCCTACTCGCACCCGTTGTCCTTCACAGACAGACAGCGTGATGTTTTGGCATGAAACACGCCCCCAAGCACAGGCATTCCACAAATGATGCCTCAACAAGAAACGCAGCAACAGGCGACACTTGACTTCTTTCACTCCCACGTTTGCTTCCAGCAACAACACATGTAGTGTGCCGCAACACAGCATGCCATCATGGTGTAACCAAGGGCCTACGAAGGACTCCTTCTGGACCGCTCGCGAACGGACCGAAACTGGCTTGCGGAACGCACGACATGTGCTGCGGTACTCAAAACATGTGTTGGCCGCTCCACAAACGCGGCAGGGACACACAGGTGAACGGCAGGGAAGCCCCTGGTAGCTGAAAGGTGCACACGCAGGACTGGTGACGCGCGGAGTTGCAGCTCACAACTAGTCAAACAGCGCCACTGCGCAAACGTCTGGAGTTGGAAGTGGCACGGGCTCAAGCAGTGGGCTTGCTCGCGAAGGCCAAAAGGAGCACGATTTAAAAGCGGCAAAAGCTTTTCGTTTCGTGGTTTGGTCGGATTTGCCTGCCCTAGCGGCTGGTCCGGCAAGCTTGCAGCCCCAAGGCTGCGGAGGCCGTCCCTTTACAGTTGTTGCGCTTCGCTGATTCTGGTTTATTTTGGGTTTGTGTGTTGCGCGCGCCGGACGGAAGGACGGCGGATGACGGCGATGCAGGACGGTGTTGGGCGGTAGGACGGCGGCGGATGGCGGCGGTGTGTTGTGGCGTCGGCGGTGGCGGTGGCGGAGAAAACGCCCCCAGGGAGGAAAAAAAAAGGGTTAAAGGTTGCGCACTGAGGGAGTAAGTGAAACATCAAGCAGCTATGAATCAGAAGGTTGAGCAAATCCAACCTGTGTCTCCGAGTCTCTGAAGGCGAAGCCCGCAGGGGTCACAGCGCTGGGGTATGCCTTGGAGATCTCGGCGTTTGGAGCTCCCAACTTCCCCGACAAGGAGGCCCAATTCACCTGGAACTCTGCGGAGTCGCAGGTGCAAAAGGGCCCAACTCTCCGAGTGAAACTCGCAGCTCCGAGAATCTCCGATTGAATGGGGGTGGGAAGAAGGTGGTCTTTAGAATCTTTAGCCCAGAACAAAAAGTAAGTGTCTATTGCAAGGTTGCTGCCAACAGCAAACTTCGTGCATCGGACTGTGCCTCCCGCGTTCCATCAGTGACCGTGCTCAAGCAGCATAAACCTTCTGGAAATTGATCACAACTACACTAAGCTGCAACATGCTGCAACAACTTAATCACATATTGCATCACGGACGGCCCGTGGTTTGAACATCGGCCTGAACGATCAAACGGGACACAGCACTCTCATGGCAGATGGCAACTCCATACTCGACCAGAAGCCATGCACGGTGACTTGGATGAATCGATGACGTCTCGTCATTTCAGTGGGTTTTCGGAGTCTTCGTCTTCGTGGCTTGTTGGCCTACGCCGACATTGCCTTCACACCTTTCGCCGAGGGTCCCCGATAAGAACGGCATAGCCGCCACCCAGCAGGCACTTGAGGTAGGTTGGGCTCAGATCCTCCATGTTTACCTCCTAGCACACGCCTCTAAGGATCTGAGGCTTAATGCCGATCAGCGGTGACGAGAATGTGGAAAGAAAAGCAGGGGCTTTGGGTGTTCAGGGTTTGTCGAACTGGAGTGGGGGGACTACAAAGCACAAATGAGCGGTGTTCAAAACCTCCTTATACAAATTGCAAGGAAATTATAAACTCTTGCGCGAAAACCTTGCGCGATGATTACGCGACCACAGTGGGAGCTTGCGCAGGGGACTATCTTCAACATTTGCTTGCGCGAGCTTGCGCTGAAATAGGTTTTGCATGGTTTTGCTATATTTTGTGCGTGTTTGCTTGCGCTGTGTATGCCCGAGCTAGCTGGAACATGGAAGTTCCTCGCAAGCTACATGCGAATGAGACCGTTCTATTCGGACCTTCCGAGCAGAATCATTTGGCAAATGGAAATGAGGAAGGCGAAGTGGAGCTACGAGGAAGGACCGAGCTCTGACGCGTTAGTGAGCTTTTCTTCGAATCCCGTTCTTTGACGTTCTTTGTGGAGTGGGTGGGCTAGGGCCCTTGGGGCTTGCGCGAACCTTGCGCGAAAATGTCCAAATTCTGAACCAAACAGAGTACAACTAATCTGATCATAATGTATATAATGTCTATCTGTCTATCATACAAACAGTCAGTCATTCAAGCACTATAGTATGAAGCTTACGCAACCTGGCGCAAACCAAAGGCCTTGTGCGAACCTTGCAAAAAGCTTGCGCGCGTGTGGTCCCATGCAAGTTTTTAAATAAGAAATTCCCCGAAAGACTAAAGTTCTTTGCCGCCGGTTTTGAAGGCGGCTCAAATGACGGATTGTGAGCTTCGCCTATAGACAAGTGTAATCTTCTTAAACTTCTTCTTAAGAGCTGCTAAGTACAGCGCTGACATTTTAGCCCAGCCTAACTCAAGAATGTGGAAAGTCCCCTGTCTTTGCTCCACGGGCCCCATCTTGGGCTATGATGGCTATGTGGATGGACGCGGAAATCCCGCGGGTTGGGTGGGTCAAAGTGCAGTGTTCTTCATAGATGCGAACCGCCACGGGTGGCTGCCGTGCCAACACAAATCATCTTCTAAGGTTTCGGTTTAATCCAATCTGCACAGCTCAGCCCAGCGTTCCTTTTTTGGAGCCCTCCACCGCGCTCTCAGTGTGGCTCCAGCCCAGCGAATGGCGACCTGTGACCAAGCAAGGTTTGGCATCCATTGCTTATATAAAGCACAAGGATGTTTACATAGTGTCTTTCAATGAAACTAGAACGCGCTTTGCAAAGAATGCCTCCCTGTGCTCGCAGAAACGAACATAGGTGGGAATGTGCATTTACAGTTGCATGGGCTTGCAAGGTCCCACCTCTATGTTTGCCATTGGGGATGCATGATGGCGAACATCAGTGACACCAATCTACGGCACACTTGTGGCACCGTCGACTGCTTCGACACACAGGAGCAAAAGACCTGAGGAACTGATTCTTTAGACCTACACAAGCCGCTTTTGAGTCCCCGACGATGTCTTCAGAACCTTCGCGCCAAGCTTTGAGAGCTCTGCCGCCTGACCAGATGATTCTGATTAGGAGGACGGCAACAAGTGCTTCACTACTGGGAGGGGTGGTCTGATTTTGGGCAGAGCTGCTTCAGACTCCAACTGGCAGCATGCAGTAGCTCATGGCATGCCAAGAATCTCATGGAAAACTCCATTGATCCCTGTTGACCCCTGCACTTCCCACAGCGTGGGTGAAGTAGCTCTGAAGCTCCCCAGGCCCCTCAGTTGCTCCTCAATGGCCACCAGCGGAACCAGTCCTTCAAGCGGCTCCACAGACCTAGGTGTCCGCTGCAACATGATCTCCTACTGCAGGGGACCTCAACTAGTAATTGTGTCTCACCCGCAGTGCGCCCAAGGACAGACAAATGAGGCAACTTTTGGTGGAAACCAAAGACCAAATCATCTTGCTGGAGCACTTGGCACTCCGTGCGCCCATGGGATGTCAAGAGGAGTTAGAGACCCAAAGCGGAACCTTAATTATTCGTGAAAATTAAAGACATTTAGAAGCCTGCAGTTGATGTGAATCGATCAGTTGCATTTGACGCAGCTGTTCCCAGCAGAAATGAGGCCAGGCGCAAGCAAATATGCACAAAAAATATTGTCATGTGCGCCCTGCAACCGCAAAAGGGTTGTCTGCCCAAACAATGTGCTGTATTCTGCTATGGACTCCTGACTCCTTGAAGCAAATCTAAAGAAAAGCATGCACAAACGAAGGAGTAGCTCCCTACCCCAAACAAGTGAACAACATTGAGTTGATTGAGAGGGAGGAACACAATCCCAGCAGCCTGACTTTGTCCGAGGACGCGAAAGCTCTTGCGCCTTGGCACGCAAACACTGAGCCGCTGTGCCATACCGGCCATACCCTTGTGCAAACCATTGCATGCATTCGATGGATTCGGGTTGGAATGGAAGGGATTCTTGAACACATTCATTGTCTGAACCCCCTTGGGAATGATGGAAAACCCGTGAAACAGCACAAACCTGCATGAGTTTCATCCTTGAAGCCAAAAACGAATTGCTCCTCAAAAGCAGTCATGGTCCCCCTCACGTCATGGGTGAAAGCCAGCTGCAAGGCATTTCTGTAAGGCAGTAATTTGCAACATGGTTTGACCATCTTCTGCCACTCGCACAAACAGTTCACGGAATAAACTTCACGAAGGATGCCCTGGAAATCCTTAGAACGTGATGGAAGGTGGCCACTCTGTTTCGCCAATCCTATCCTTCTGAGCCGCCCACTCGCAGATCTAGCAAGTTGGGTGGCGGTGGCATGAAGAGCTCCGGCAATGCAGCTTCTGCCTAGGTGAAGCTCGACGAATCATTCCCGCCCACTGCCCACCTGTGGGTGCAAAAACTCCTTCATCTTGGGACCCAAAAGGCTCAACACTAGGCTCAACATATCCACTATATACGCACCCGAGCCCGTACGACACAGCATGTCTATAGTTGCCCTGCTTGGGTGTCAATACTGTCACGTCAGCCTGCCTGTCAAAAGTGCTCATCATCTTACTTTGTATTTTGGCACATCGAAGCGGCTGCGATCAATAGTCAATAGTGAAACTGAATCCAGGCACCTAGGACACACCATCATGAAAACATATATGATTTGAAATGGTCTGAAGAGCATTGATCAGTTCGGATGCTATGAGACTCGCTCACCGAAAACAAGCAGCAGCTCGCATGGATGGAGTGCTTGGTGCACTGGTGAAACGGTGTTGCAACGCCGGTCACGATTCAACCAGAAGGCTGAAGAAAACGAATGGGTTATAAGTTATAAGGTGCTCACTCTGGCCCATTGCAAGTGGTGAGCTCTATGACCAAGTCCTCCATGCTTCAGCCCCTGGTGTTTCGTGGGTTGCCTTCATCCGAAACCGCTGGCCAAGACATGCTTTTCCATTGGCAGCTTTGGCATCGGAATGTGCATTTTGGCGAAATTTGCCCGTGGCCCCTCATCAAGCCTTGTCATGCACAACTTCGTCTTTGAGCGCATGTCGCGGGTGTCGTGATTGAAGCCCACGCTGGGTGCGCTGCTGTTCTTGTGCAATACCTGCCAGCTTTTTCAATCAAGACCCAGATGAAGACACTCGGATGCTGGAAATCATCGAACCCAACTTGGGGGATTTTTAGCATAGTTCATAGTTCCACACCACGCTGGCCCCCCCAAAAAGAGAAAAGAACAATGTCAGCGGATCTTCACCTCCCATGGGCCATCTCCGATCCCCTTGTCCTCTCATGTCCTCTCCCCCTCTGCCTGCTTCCCAAAGCAGCTCCGTGCGGCATCGTACTTGGAGATCACGTCGTCGGAGCTGCTGGCGCGGTTGAACTTGGGCCCCCGTGCGAAGGCGTAGGTGGACTGGTTCCGGCGCTTGCTGAGGTGCTGCGGGCCGATGGCCGAATCCTTTCGGTCGAAGGTTCCAGGGCCCACCTGGGGACAAGGGGCTGGAACGATCTGGAGCGGTTGAACCAGTGGATGTCTATGAGTTGGGTGTGTAAATGAGAGAGGGGGGTATGGATTCAATATGGTCTAGCAAATCTGGCATCTGTAAAGTTTATAATGTTATATATACAACTATTCTCCGGGGAGGGATTTGATCAAAAATTAAAACAAGGGCAAATAAGGAAGCTGCACACAGCCCTACCTCTGGCGGATTGTTGTAGACCCCAGGCCACACAAGCTTGGTCTTGTGTGCAAAGGGCATGGCATTGCCCATGCGTGCTTTTGTGATGTCGAACTTGGGGCCAAACTCATCTCCAACCTCAGTCAATGTCGGAAGGTATCAAACACAAAGGGAGCCATCACAGGAAGCCCATACAGTACCTGTCCAGGCAATGTCTTCCGAACTAAGTCCTGGTCCCTTGTCCTGTTCACGAGGTGTGAAAACCCGCATCGATCCGTCCATCCGAGCTGCTGCGGCCGGGCCAGGGGAGGCCCGTCCGAAGAAGGCCGCCTTGTGGGTCTTCAGCAGCGTGGACTCCTTGAGGCTGAAGCCTCGGAGCCACCCGACGCGGAGAAGCTCCCTGCTGGGTGAGGAACGCAGTGTGGTCTGGACGCAGTGTGGCTGTTGTTTCTTGGGTGGTTGGTTGCTTGAGGTTGCTTGTTGTGCTGAGTTGCTGCTTGATCTTCGACCAGCTCCCCAAAAGCCCCCCAACTTCACAGGTAGTCACTTGGGCACCTGATTTGGGATCACGGATCACCTATGGTTTGAAAAGCATTTGCTGCGATGCTTCACCCACCGCCTAGATCACACTGGGGACAAACCCAAATCCAAGCAGCGGGGCTCCGTGCCAATCACGATCTTGGGCTCACGCTTGTACTTAAACCTGGCAAGCTGGCGAATCTTGACGCAAAAAGGCCGCAGTTGTCGGTGGCCATCAATGCGACTGCACATTGGATGCGACTCTAATGGCTTGGCGGCCTCTGGACTTTAGATGGCACAAAACCATGAAGCAATCTATCACAATCATTGGTCCACGACCCACGAACACTTAGCATCCAGGGAACTGCTGGCCATCTGGCATCAGGTTCATGGCGTCATTGGTGGGGATGCTGTCCGGATCCACCTTTTGAGCTGTGAAGTCCGTCCGGCCTCCATAGCCTGGGTAAGCATTCAAGGGCCAGGTTCCACCCTCTGGGTTCTGACATAACTATGTGGTGGTTCCACCCTATAAGTTGTTGGGAGCACCTCTAATTAGAAATTAGAAGCATCTCTAAGCTTGATCTGCTCAAAGGTGACAAATGATTACTCATCAGACATTTACAAATCAAATGACTATATACTCATCAGACATTTGGCCCCCCAACGCAGTCAACCGAGTGATGTAGCCGTAGCCCCCACATAAAGAAGCTCATGGTGTGCTGCTTGAGCACAAAATGACATGACATAACTATAAATAACTACTGTATCGCATAGCCCAGAAGCCAAACAAGGTCTTCAAAGACAAGCTAATCTGGAAGTCAAATGAACCGTCTGTAACCCGGAGCACGAGCCACTCACGGAAGACACAAAGCAAAAAAGGTGCAAAATTGGATCAGTCTTTATTTCACAGATTTTCACAGCTACAAGCAACATCCTTGGTCCATTACCCCGGTGTGACTGACAGTGACCAAAAAAAAACTTGCCAAGTGATATTCCGCGTGACCCAGGCCAGTTGTTGTGGCCAGGTTTGTGTCCAGCGTGGATGGAAGGGTGATGCTGTCAACCTTGGGGGATTCACGGCCAAGGCGGTTTGGCTTGATGTGCTTCTCGGTGATGAAAACCTAGAGCGCAAAGAGCGCAAAGCTCAAGGCCGTTCAGCTTCTTCATACAGCACTAGGTCGATGGTTCTGTAAAGGCCTGTAGGAGTACGTTGCATTTAGACGTGCAATACCAGTAACATCCAGTAACTAACATTCAATATAGAACATCTTGGGGATCACGAGGGTCCATTCCCATACTGACTGGACCTCATGTATATCTGCTGCAGGTTTATATACAGGGGAAGCTAGCTCGTGACGGTCTTGCAAGTAGCAATCAGAAATAGAAACAAGCTGCTAAAAGCATGCTGGAGGGCATTCTGTCGCGCATCCCTGCTCACGCTAGAAATCAAAGGGTGAGACGCTGACACGCGCTGACTTTGGGCTTGAGGTCCGAGAGCGCTATAAAAATAGCTGTCCTTGTCGATACCTCGGAGGATGAGCTTGCCAGCAACCCAGCAGAGGTGGTGTTTATACCATGATCTAGGGTATGCGAGCTCAGGGACCCAATCCAGCCCGATCCCTTGTTGAATTCGTTTTTATCCTTTCATGGCAAGAACCAGGGGACTTGAGGGGAATATTGTCTGGAGGTTCGTCCCATACACTGCAGTGCGTGGTTGTTTGACGGTGGTTGCGATTGTCTTTGTGGATCAAGGCCCCCCAATCACTGCATTGACGAGCACCCAGGTCTGCCACTTTGGTCCAGCTGTCCTGCCTTTCGTCCAAAAAACTTGTGAAAAGCCTGGAAGAACAACCAAAGCCAAGGCTTCAATGGATCTACAAATCCAGCATGAGCAACTTTTTGACATCAAACTCCTCAAGTCCCGACATTCTGAAATATGTTTTGGTGTCAAATGCCAGTACATCATCAGCCAAGCTACTCGTCATCTTCGGCGATCCCCGCACCCTCTGGGTGAAGGGTCCCGGGCCGCTCGAGCCAAGCGGCTTCGACGAGAGAAATCATGGAAGCCAGTTGCATGGCCAAGATCATGGATGACAGTCAAAGGAAAGAGGGACGTTACAAATCACAACAGGGATGGAAAACCAGAAAGAGAACCTCAGAGTCTTGGAATTGGAAAGAAACCCTTATATAACAATATCTTAGTAGCATAACTAGTATAGGCATATTGTAGTGTTTTGCCTGCTGTTCCCCACCCCTGGAAAGTCTCATCTCAACACCTTCCCACCCCAAGGATGGCTTGGATCTTGGCTGCGCACCTCAGCTGCCCAACTAGGAAACCTGAGTCCACCGGCTGCAACACAGGTTTCCTCATTGGAGTGATTCAGGAGTTGATTCAATTGATCGAAAGCAGCGCCGACCCATCTCTAGCGTGCGGATTCGGAGCCTGCCCGGAAAGGCAGGTCATGTGTGCCCCTGAGGCTGCCACGAGGAACCTCGGATCTATGAGCAAGTGGCCACCGGATGGACCGTTGCTCGGAACATAAACACCAACCAACCAAGCACTCATGGAATCTTCGGAACGTGGGCTTGTCTCAAGCCCAGAACTGGTAGAGTTGGAAACATTGGCACGAACAGTCTTCCAATGCATAGATTCACTGTGGGTTTCACAACGTGTCACACGGACAATTCAATACAATGTCACAATGTCCAATGGCCATGTCAGTCTTCAATGTTCGCCTTGCGTTTTCCATTGGGGATTGGCCCCATTGCATAGTTCGGCCGCATCCTGTAGCACTGGCTCAGAAACCAAGTATATATGTCAAGTCCAGCGTTTCATGTCCCAGATAGCCCACAAAACGAAGAGCCATGAAGTTGAAACCAGGAAATCAAAAGGAAGGCTCAGTGACACGAAAAGCAAGCGAGAGTGTGACAGGTGTTAAATAGTAAACATAAATTAGGCAACAAAAACAATAGGATGCGTTTCAATGCGTTTCACTGTTTCACCGCTCTTTCGCACTCTGCCCAAAGCTGTCCCCAAGACACGATCCCAAGCCCCCAATGCCCCAGACTGCCGAGATACGAATCAAGGCTTGGAAGTTGGGAGGCAGTGGGCAAGTGACATGGATCTTCGGGGTCTTCGCGGTGGCAGGCACCGATAGGCTAGACCTGTACCAAGGCGGTAAAATGTTCGGGAAGCGGCCGGAAGAAGAAACACGTCGTGAAGCATGGAAGGAATTAACAATTATGAAAAATTTGAGAGGACAATAGGACGCTACTGGGGG